AATGGATGCAGAGGTGTGTAGTAATGTCTAGTCACTTTTCAGTTCCTTTGACAAACTGAAGCTTCCTGGTTAAGTTGTCTTCTCCTTAAAAGTTTACTTTGGAAAATATCAGCTCCTTTTGGAACGGGCCAATTAACTGCTGTTAATTTCCTTCTGCTTGGTCAATGTCAACGTTGTTGTTTTTCCCTTAGGAAAGCCCCAGCTTTTTCTTTCATGTAGCTAAACATTACATATACAAACTTGCGTATTCTAAACTTGTCAGGAAAGAGCGGCTGACAACATGGCAATTCTGAATGCTTCGTTCCAAAAGCAGGGTGGAGACTTTTCCATTCATGTATTAAATACCATCGGAGACATTTTCAGATTTTCCTTCCATAGCTTTATGGCACACATGGAATGGTTTTGTTTAACATGTTAATCAGAACCTTACTGTTCAACCAAAGAGGGATGCAATTAAAGCAGGGGGTAGTGACCCTGTGGGTCTCCGGATGTTGCTGGACTACAACTCCCATCATTGCTGATCATTGGCCATGCTGATGTGGCTGATGGGGAATAGAGTTCAACAACATCTGGATGGCTGCAGGTCTCACTCCCCCACACTCACAGGTTCAATCTCCAGCATCTGAAGACAGGGCCACCACAGGGGGTTCAGATGTACCAGGTCCCATAGCCAAGAGGGGCCTCAGGCTATCAGCTTTCTTTTTCTTTTTTTAAAAAGTCTCTGGCCCTTGTAACTTCCTTACAATTTCAGGTGAGATGAGTCAACCTGGCTGCTCCCAGCTCTCAGTGCCATTGAGTGAAGTCAGAGAGATCAAGTGTGCACATTGTGACGACCTGGAAGTGGCCGGAAAAGGGGGCAGAACAGGAACAGAATAGGCTTATCCGTGCTTTGACACATGCAGGAGTCAGGAATGTAACCTCTGTGCAAATTGTTCGTTGCTTGTACTGGGCTCAGAAAACCCTGTTGGCACCACTTTCTGAAGGGCACCATCCTTGCTTTGGGAAACATGTATCCAATGCAAGTGCCTGGTGTCTTTGTCTGCACTAAACTCAGACTAGTAATGTTAGTGCCCAGGAGCAGCCAAAGCTTGTCCGAGATTCTCCAACCCAAAACTAGGTCCCACATCACAATCCAAGGCAAGCGTTCATTTCAGCTTTGATTCTATGGTTCTGAGAAGAGGAAATAGGAACACAGATGGGGTATTCATAGAATTGTAGAGTTATAAGGGACCCGAGGATCATCTAGTCTAACCCCCTTCCAATGTAGGGATCTCTCTCTCTCTCTCTCTCTCTCTCTCTCTCTCTCTCTCCATATATATATATATATATATATATATATATATGGAGGAAATGTGCAGCCTTGAAGCAGGCTGGTTTACCCATACCTAAGCCTTTTTTTCTTTTTCTTTGCATGACATGATGGTCTGAAGCTCAACATCAAAAAAACGAAGATCATGGCCACTGGTCCCATCACCTCCTGGCAAATAGAAGGGGAAGAAATGGAGGCAGTGAGAGATTTTACTTTCTTGGGCTCCATGATCACTGCAGATGGTGACAGCAGCCACGAAATTAAAAGACGCCTTGGGAGAAGGGCAATGACAGGCCTAGACAGCATCTTGAGAAGTAGAGACGTCACCTTGCCAACAAAGGTCCGTATAGTTAAAGCCATGGTTTTCCCAGTAGTGATGTATGGAAGTGAGAGCTGGACCATAAAGAAGGCTGATCGCCGAAGAATTGATGCTTTTGAATTATGGTGCTGGAGAAGACTCTTGAGAGTCCCATGGACTGCAAGAAGATCAAACGCATCCATTCTTAAGGAAATCAGCCCTGAGTGCTCACTGGAAGGACAGATCATGAAGCTGAGGCTCCAGTACTTTGGCCACCTCATGAGAAGAGAAGACTCCCTGGAGAAGACACTGATGCTGGGAAAGATGGAGGGCACAAGGAGAAGGGGGCGACAGAGGATGAGATGGTTGGATAGTGTTTTCGAGGTTACCAGCATGAGTTTGACCAAACTGCGGGAGGTAGTGGAGGACAGAGATGCCTGGCGTGCTCTGGTCCATGGGGTCACGAAGAGTCGGACACGACTAAACGACTAAACAACAACAACAACAAAAGCCTTTTTTTCTTTTTCTTTGCATGACATGATTTCTTGACAATTGATGACTTGCTGCTGAACAAGCAACCAGCCGTTGCTGAAAGTTCTGCCAATGTCTGAGGAGCTTGATTTGTGATCAGTGGTTTAATACTTGCTTTGATGTTGCAGTCATGAAGTGAAAATATAAAAGTGTCATCAAGGACATGAATGTGAGCAAAATTCTTCAGCTGACTCAGATCAAAGTTCTGGCATTTCCCTACCACTCAACATGCTGTCTCCAGGTGCTGCATCTTTCTATATTGTGGCTGGGGGCGGGGGGAGAGAGGAGGGAGGAAACTAATGGTCCATGTTTTATATAGTTCTGTATTTTATATATCGTTAGCTGGTTCCCAGTTCTTACAGTGCATTTGCTTTGCATCGTCACTGCCAGTCTCTCCTTGTGTTCTCATCTGCCTAATGCACATTTTTCAGCCTGTTTCATCATTGCCAAGGTCGTGGCACACAGGAGCCACCTAGCGGAATGCTTAATAATAATAAAGTTAGTTTCGACCCCTGTCACTACTTCATCTTTTGTCAGTCCCCACGCAAACAGGAAATCTTAACACTCGATTCTTCTGGGCATACTGATTTGTATTTTTTCTACAATCCTCTTTCCTGTTGAATGAGCATAATTTTTACCATCTGTATCTTGCTACTCCCCAAAGTCAGGGTAGCTAGTAGTTGCTCAAAACATTAAAATCACAGCAGATAGGAAAGGTATGGCTTCAGCCAAGTTTTGCTGGATGATCAATGGCCCAGGCACTGCTTGAAGGAGGAAAAAATGAGGATGGGGAATGGGAAACAGAGGGGGAAAGTGTGGTGGTTTGTATTTGTTTCTACTTGTGGGGGGGGGAACCCTTTAATGAACAGGTTTTCAAAAAGGCAAATATGTTCCTGTGGCCATGTTCTATAAGTATTTGTGGACCTGCAGTTTAAATATCTTATAGGAAATTTCCTATATTTTGTGCCAATTGTTGGTAGCTTTCAGTAGCTCTAAGCCAGGGATGGCCCTCCAGATGTTGAATACCCAACTTCCATCAGCCCTAGCCAGAACAGCCAATGTGTGGGATAACCTTCATAATAACCAACACACTTAAGTCTAATTAACGCACAAAGGGGTTAGCTAGGTCACTCCCTCTCAGCTTGGGAGGAAGGTAATCAAGCCTATTGTCCTCTCCCAGTCTGCCTGAGAAGCTGAGTGAAGAGTTTTTTTTTTGCTGGTTGCTGCAGATCAGACCGCATGGCTCTAACAAGCCAATCTTGTGTTCCTTTGCCAATAACTTTCACCACTGTAACAAGCCAAGTTTTACCAGTTAACGTTTTCTGAGTGATATGTGGAAAAGCAAATGAATCTCACTTTTGGAGAGTTTCTAAGTAAACCATTTTTAACTGATCAAACGTGGTCTTACTCTATGCTGGGGGAGAAGGGACTATTTTGGAAGGAGCTCACACTTGTGTAATGTACTTCTCAGTGGTGACTGTTGCCCATCGGGACTGCTAAGGTGGAAAGCAGGGAACCCAAAAGTACAGTGGTGCCTCGCAAGACGAAATTAATTCGTTCCGCAAGTTTTTTCTTCTTGCGAGTTTTTCGTCTTGCGAAGCACGGTTTCCCATAGGAATGCATTGAAAATCAATTAATGCGTTCCTAGGGAAACAGCTTGCCAGGCTGGCGGTGCGGAGAAGGGCTTTTCTCCCCACCGCAAGCCTTCAGGACAGGTACGGGAACAGAGGGGAAGGCGCGCAGCGCTTTCCCTCTGTTCCCGGGGCTTGCGTGGGAGGAGGGTTTTTCCTCCCCACCGCCAACATTCAGAACAGCATTCTGAATGTTGGCGGTGGGAAGGGAAACCCTCCTCCCACCCCAAGTCTCGGGCGGCGGGAGGCAGTGTTCCCGTCCCCCCGCCCGGCTTCGGTGCGATGCTCCAAAGCCGTGCGGAGGGAGGCAGCGTTCCGGTCCCCCGCCCGGCTTCGGTGCGATGCTCCAAAGCCGCGCGGAGGGAGGAGGAGTTCCCGCCCCCCCGCCCGGCTTCGGTGCGATGCTCCAAAGCCGCGCGGAGGGAGGCAGCGTTCCGGTCCCCCCGCCCGGCTTCGGTGCGATGCTCCAAAGCCGCGCGGAGGGAGGAGGAGTTCCCGCCCCCCGCCCGGCTTTGGTGCGATGCTCCAAAGCCGCGCGAGGGAGGCAGCGTTCCCGCCCCCCGCCCGGCTTTGGTGCGATGCTCCAAAGCCGCGCGGAGGGAGGAGGAGTTCCCGCCCCCCCGCCCGGCTTCGGTGTATCGTTCTGAAGCCGGGCGGCGGGAGGAGGTCCGAGGACAGTGGGGAAGTCGCGCTTCCCCGCTGTCCGGGAGATTTCCCTATGGGCTGTCGTCTTGCGAAGCAAGCCCATAGGGAAATTCGTTTTGCGAAGCGCCTCCAAAACGGAAAACCCTTTCCTCTAGCGGGTTTTCCGTCTTGCGAGGCGTTCATCTTGCGGGGTACCACTGTATTCGGAGCCAGAGCCAATGATAAGCATAACCAAATAATTCTAGTTTTTGACCCGTCCTCTACCTCCCGGCTCAGTTGTACAAGGGCAATGCAGAGACTAAGGATGCTGCAGCTGTGAAGCAGTGCCACTCTCTGGCCGGGCTGTAAGGAAGAAAGAGAAGTGAGGGCAGGCTGAGGCTGGTAGGGCATGGACCAGCCTCTCCTGGTTCTTCCATTAAATTCACAAAACAGTCTGGCTCAGTCCCTGTCTTCCAACATAACCTTGTTATGAAGATAACATTAAAAAAAAAGAATTGGCTATCCTGCCTCTAACCCTTTTTGGCTTGCTTGGAAATTAATAATTACCACTTGTGGTTCTAATAAAATAAAAGATCAGCTCAGACCATTTAAATGCAGCAAGATTTACAGGAGGAGTTCTTCTGTTTTTGCTTCAGTGAGTGAGTTGTTGGCGATTCAATTGTGATGAAGAAGAAACCCCAAAAGGAAGTGGTCTATAAACATGTTTTCCAGCAAAGTCTATAAATTCTCTTTCTCTATCTCGCACCAAAAGTGAAACCGTTTGTGACTGCAAATAGTTTCAAACTGCAGATTTCCTCTTTCAAGTTAGAGCCTTGCTTCCTGTGAAGGAAGAAAGTGTATCAGAGGACAGACGTAGAGCACCAAAGTAGTCCCAGGGAGCAGGATGGACAAGTTTCGTACGGTGTTTGATTTCTGCCTTAATCACCAGAAGGCACTGGGCTATGGGGCTGTCTCTCTGTTGACGGTTGGCAGCGAGCGCATCTTTTCTGCTGTGGTGTTCAGATGCCCTTGCAACTCCTGGAATATGCTCTATGGGCTGGTCTTCCTCTTGGTGCCAGCCCTTATTCTGTTTCTGCTTGGCTTCTTGCTCAGTAGCCAGTCTTGGAAGATACTCACCGGAAGCTGCGCCCCCAACAGGCTGTGCAGGTGCCCTCACGGGACCCGATTCCGGCACTACTTGAAAGTGCTGGGGCTGGTGATTGTCAGAGCATCTGTTGCTCCCTTGACATGGATTGCTGTGGCCTTACTGGGAAGCCGCTTCTATGAGTGTGCCGTTTCTGGGAGCTCTGCAATGCAGGCGTACATGTGCAAAGGCAAAGGGCATGAGTGTGTTGAGAAAATGCCTCAGGTGCCTTGTCAGAGTGGCACTGCTACCTCGGAGATGCAGGATATGCTCATGAGCCTTCAAGCACAGTCTCAGGTTGGTATAACCTCTTCCAGATGGTACTACTAAGTTGTGACTTGTAAATTGCATGGGTGGGTGGGGAGCATCTCAACTTGGGACCAGGGGCACTGAAAGGCTGCCTGCTCATGTATAAACTGGGATTATTTGGGGAAAATTTACTCATGACACTGTACCCTACAGCGTATCAAGTGGTAGTGACCTGAAAATGTGCATTTTCTGGAATGCCCTTCCTTCTGCTGTTTATGTTTCCCTTCTTTTTCTGTTTATGCTTTCCCCTTAGTAACTAACTCTAAACTCCTCTTTTTACAACATAGCTAATATTCAGACGCTACTTGAAAGTGTTAGAAGCATCATGTGATCATGTATGTAGTTCAACTTAGCAGACTTCAACAGGGCCTTATAAGTGACATTATGTGGATGGCAGTATAAAATCCCAGCCTTTAAACAAGGGCACTTGGAAGAATAAGGTGTGGGCTGATGAGCCATCTGTTCATACATGATTCTAGATTCAGGTAGGTAACCGTGTTGGTCTGATGCAGTCGTAATAAATAAATAAATAAATAAATACGTACTTTTCAGGGCAAGAGTGAGGCTTGGGTTTGTATTGGAAAACTTTGGAAGGTGTGGGATCAGATAATAAGAATCTATATAGACAGCAGTTATATGAACCAGCACATTTAGCATTTATTTTGCAGGAATTAATGAAATGTATACAACTGGTAAAAAGATGCAATTGAAGCAGGGGTCGTTTGCCTAACAGAGATAAACCAGAGTAACCACTTAGCTATCTTTGAAGAATTCCTCTGGCATGGTAAAACATAAATAATTTCAGGGCCATGAGAATATGCCCAAATGAAACGTGATAAGCTTGTGTCAGAAAAATAGAGTGCTATATAAGATCCCAGTAAGGATCTTGTTGTCAGCATGGGGCCTGCACCATTTGCATGTAAGGAGCTTGAAACCACTGCTGCCTGGAAGAGAGGGGATTCTGGCAGACTACAAAGGGGTCGTAAGAATATACCGGTATCTGCTCTATTCGCTTTGCTCTTTACTCATATCATCCTATGTATAAAACTGTTAAAGAGCAACCCAAGTGTCTTTTATTGCCTATCTGAATAAAATAAAAAAAAGCTTTGGGGTTTGGCCAAACACAAAAGCTCTGTAGTAGAGCATGTCCAGAAGGTCCCAGCTCCAATCACTGGTATTTCCAAGGTAAAGCAGCCAGAGATTAGAAAAAGCTCAGCTTGGATCCTGGATTACTACTGCTGATCAAAACAATAGAATAATGGGCTAGGTGGACAAATTGTCTGAGCTAGTAGGTTCCTGGTGTTTGGGGGGAGAAATAGTTATTACAGACATGACACAACCCCAAGTTAATTCTAGGCAAGAGTTCTATGGGGCTCACTGATGCCAACCTTGTTCTTATCTCTCTTGTGCTTCTTTGCCAAGGTGCTGGGGTGGAGTTTGATCGCCAGTGTCTTCCTATTGGCCCTAGTTTCTACATGCATCTCCCGTTGCTGTTCTCCAGTCAGTATTCTCCAGCTTGCCTTCTGGAAAGTCTACCTGGAGCAAGAGCAGCAGCTTTTTGAGCAAAAGGCCAAGGATCACGCAGCGAAGCTGGCAGAGAGGAACGTCAAGTGCTTCTTTGATTCCACAGAACTGGACGAGTTTCCAACTCCAAGTGCCAAAGAGTGGCACGGCATTTCTTCCTTGTTCACCTTTAACCCTAAAAAAGATTACTACAGCATGATGCACAAATATGTCAGCAGCAAAACCAACACTGGCAGCCTTAGGTCTGTGGAGGGGGATACAGTTCCTTGTTGCCTGGGGTTTGTGGATGGCGCTGGTGGTATTGACACACAAGGCTTATAGTGAAATAATTGCTTAGCCCATCAGGCTCCGTTACAAGAAGATGTCTAACTGAACATGGTTGTTATTTCCTCTTTCCTCTTTCCCCCCTCTTTCTCTTGTTTTTTGGTGTTGGGTTGTGCTTTATATGTATGGTGTGTATACAGCCTGACCATAATTAACCTCTGACTCCTACTAAGACATACAGTGGTACCTCTGGTTACATACTTAATTCGTTCCGGAGGACCGTTCTTAACCTGAAACTGTTCTTAACCTGAAGCACCACTTTAGCTAATGGGGCCTCCTGCTGCCGCCGCGTCGCCAAAGAACGATTTCTGTTCTCATCCTGAAGCAAAGTTCTTAACCCGAGGTAATATTTCTGGGTTAGCGGAGTCTGTAACCTGAAGCGTATGTAACCTGAGGTACCACTGTACCTGCTTATCTAGGCTTTGGCTGGCCACTAATTCCCACCCTGGAATAATATATTGCAGACTACCATGGGTGGAAGACAGATAGACAGATAGATGATAGATAGATAGATATAGAGATATGAGGTTTATTTTACTGAATCTGCTTGTATCTTGTCAATCCCTCTTATATTACTCAGATGAAATGTGGCACAAAGTATTTTAAAAATGAAAGATTCAGGAGTCCCTCCCCCATGATGCTTTGGATTACTGGATTTGGAAGGAACCAAATGCCCAAACTGCACATGAGAGGGAGAGCATAGGTGGAAGTCTTATGCCATGTTTCTGATCTTCCAAACAATTCAGGCCAGTGGACACATTTGAAATACTGAGAAAGCATCATGACACCAGTCACAAAATGTCTGTCATAGGGATGTGACATAACACAAAATGGTTTACCACATTCAAAAGAGCAGGAAAAGAGACATGACCACAAAATAGTATTAGCATGCCACTCACCAGCTGGAAAAAGACACCTACATTTGCCAGACTTATTCACACAAAAAAGCTCTTTGCAGCTCTAATCTGTTCAGGGGTGATGGGAAGATGGGTTCCAATTTTGGCATCCAACGAAATTTTATTTTTATGGTATTTATAAACATATTTATTTCCTGCAATATAAAGCATCAGGGCAGTTTACAGTTTTAACACGTAAAACAAATGGGCATGTTTAAGGCACATTCAATGTAAGAGACGCTGAGCCAGGAATTAAGCAGGAAGAGATACCTTTCTCTTGCATTGTGGATTTTATGAGATGATATTTACTAGTATTTCTGGGCATCATGTCCACTGGCACATGTGGGCACCATGTTGGAGACCCCTGGTTCAGAGAATGAGGAAAATGGCATCTGAACTGAGTTAGTGTGTGTGGTGCTACTTGCTGTGCTACTTGCCCAAATGAAACTTTCACCTTGCCTGTCAAGGAGTACGAAAAAGGACATGGGGGGAGGCAACTGGATCTCTTATGTTCCCAAGGGGCCCCCAAAAGGAAGCATGTGTTTGGGTATTTCCACTGGAATCATGGAAAAAAACTGTTTGGTCTGGGATTCTTCTGCAGCCACAAAAAGAGTAGTATACTTACCCTGCTTCTAATAAATTAACCAGTGCAACACAAAATGTTTCTGCCTGGAAAATCCTTGTCTTACCCCATTATTTGCTTTCTTGTTTGTGCAATCCAAATCATGTCTCAGGCACCCCTTAGCCCATTTCTTCCCAAATCCTATAAGCATTTCCTTCCTTCCTCACTCACTCATAAGGTTCTTTAAGTTATCTGTTTCCTCCTAGAAAAAGCTGAAGTCCGAAGTCAGTTGCTTCTTCAGTGGGAGAAGGAACATGCTTGTTGTTGGTAGTCGGGTACTGGGCAAGTCTGCACGGTTGCTTTCTTGCTTGATGATTTCCAAGTGACCCTGAACAGCATGCTCATGCCTCCCCCAAATCTTAAAACCAGTGGCATTTGGGTTTCATCTGTTCAGGCATGATCGGTTGTTGACATCCTGAGAAAGCAGTGACCTATAATAGTACTCTCTGGTATGGAAAAGGAAAAGGAACCCCCCCCCCCCAAAGGGGAACATTCAGCAACACTGGAAATCCCCTCCCTTTCAGCAGTTTTTCAGTGGCTGCTATGAAAAGAGTTCACCATTTCAGGAAGCATCGCCTGAACTCTAAATTGGCTTCTTCCATTTCCCTTAAATAACACCATCTGGTTCATTCTGTGATATGAAAGGGGGGAGGGGGCTAGGGTTGATCACATGACTATTGCCAGGGAGCACCGCTTCTCATTCTCAATTGCCTTCATTCATTCTCAGTGACATTGTCATGTTGCTGCATCTGATTAGTTATGTATTGGCCTATTGTTCCACTCAATATGTGATCCTGAATTTGCTGGGATAAGCCATATGAATATTGCCAGTTAGAAAACAGCTGAGAAATTATAAGAAAGGCAACATCAAAGGCACAGAAGCAGCAGTAGTGAATATATATGCATATGTATATGTATATGATGTATATGTATATGTATATGTATATATTTCTGCTCTGTCAAAAACACTATTGTTGATGAGAAACAGATGACTAAAATACTAAAATAGTAGCACCAGGGAACCAGAAATTCCTAGAATAAGAAGAGATGGACCAATAATAATAATAATAATTTATTATTTATACCTGCTGAGCTGGCTAGGCTTGCCCAGACACTCTGGGGAAATAGTCAACTCCTTCAGAAGAATAAAAAGAAATCTTGCCCACACTTCTAACAAGTACTACATTGATGAGTCTCTTTAAGCCTGAAATAGCTAGGCTGCTAAGCCTTCTGAAGCAGGGAGTTCCACAGTGAGTGCGCCTCCGCTAAGTCAGTTCCTGTGCCTCATAGCCACCCATCTAACTTTACCTGGCTGAAGAATGTAGAGCAGGATGACCTAAGCATGCAGGAGAGGCAGCCATTCCCTCAAGACACCCTGGACTCATCTGCAGTTGAGCCAGGAGGGAGAACCATGCACCATTCATGTCCATGTTGGGTTGTGGGTTGGTGCAGAGTTCATGCCCCACATAGCAAACATTTGGGAGTGCTGGGCCTGATCCAGAGGTGGCACCATCCACACCACGGTTCTGTATCGAATGCCTTTTCTGGATCAGGAATAACATCTTTCTAGGCAGGTACAGAGGGTCAAAAATATTAACTGTCCACACATAGTGACTTCAGATATGGCTTCACTTATTTCTTTTGTGTTTCCTGGTTTCAATCTTCTTTAAGAATGCAATTCCAATTTCTGTCACATCATCCCCCTTCAGAGTGTCTTGGATGAAAGTAACTTCAGCAGCCAGATGTATCTGAAAATAAGTAAGTTTGGCTAAGTAAGTGAAAGAAAACTTATTGTTGTTCCACATTGCAGGGTTTTAATTTTTTTTTTAAGAGGGTGCACTATAATGGGTGGGTGGGGCTTATAGAATAAAAACAAACAAGTTTAAAACAACAACAGCCGATTAAAAGGGTAATAAAATGTAATGCAGAATGAAATGCTGACAAACCTTGACAAAGGTCAAAAACAAAGAGCGGAGAATAAAACACAACAGCTCAAACTTATTTTAAAGCTACAGCAAGATTGAAAAGGGAAATGAAAAGGTGTTTTCTTTGTGCAAAATACACCTTGAAACACGGGGGCCAGGGGCTGCCAATATGGTGCCTGCTAATGCAATGATTCACTTGTGGTCTTTGCCTGGTGCCCATGAAGCCTCTGAGCCCCTCACATACTTCCTGCTTAGCCATGAGGTGCTGAAGAGCAGATACAGCCCAAAGTGAAATTCTGTAGAGTGACAGTCTTTCCCCTTTCAGCTCTATGTGCTTTCCAAGGCTCAGGTCAATTCTACTGAAAAGTGACCCCCAAATGTAGATGTGCCCATTCTTTGAGATTGTGACCTCCCCCTTTTCTGTACAGAAGGGCACAGTTAGCCTGCTTTTTTATTTCTTTTTTTTTAAAGAAGAATGCATTAACTGACACAGCTGCACACAAGTCCATTAGCACTTATCTAAATAAGCAGACTTTTTTTTTTTAAGCAGCACAATGTAGCTTCCACAAAACAACTGGTTTGGAAAACACAGCGAACACAGTTCTGTTTTCTCCGGCTTTCGCTTTCAGATTTGTGCAGATCCTGGCAGCTGCGGCTTTCCCTTGGGGCCAGTTTCATTTCCTAACGCCCTACCCAAGGGCAAGACAATTACTGCAATGTAGCTCTGCCCTTCTTACAAGGGTCAGCCAGGGCTTGCATTGCTGCCACATGACAGGTTCAGATGCCACCCCTTATGATAGAATGTAGGTGGGTGTTTGTTTGGGTGGGTGTATATTTTAAATGTAACTCTCCTGGAGACCTTTTGGGTGGCAAGTAACTAACAGTTTATCCCCCTCTTGCCCCGCTGCTTTCCCCTAGGGAAAGCTGCTCTTTAGTGCTGTTTTGGAGCAAAGGGCAATTTGTGTTTTCTCCAGATTGACGTTTGCTCCAATTTAGCACTAAAGAATGGGTTTTCGTGGAAAAGGAACTGGGCAAGGGGAAAACCACTCAGACCCATGCTTTCTGGGCACGGGATAAGCAGAAGTGTGGATGAGCCCTATTAGTTTTAATAATTACAACAGCAGCAGAGGAGGCCAAAGCAGCTGTCGGCTGCTTACCATTTCTAGAGCACCTCTTATGGCCCCACACAAGAGACTGCAATAGCAAAGTGAAGATCTCCCCGCCGGCAGCTCTTCCAAAAAGTCCACCAAGGGGTTCTTGTCCAGAATGAGGGAGAACCGTGTGGAATTACTGCAAGTCACAGTTGGCACAACACCCAGATACATCTTAAAAGCAACCTGGAAATGGAGAGGAGAACATGCATCCCATCAACACTGTCTCCAAGTTTTCAGATGGAAATGGTTACCAAAGGAAAGTTTGTTAGCTTAAGACAGGGATGGGGGACCTGTGGCCTTCCACATGCTGCTTGACTACAATTCCCATCATCCCTGACTATTAGCCAGACTAGCTGGGGCAGATGGGAAATGATAGGTTTCCTTTCCTGGCTTAAGATAGTGCAGATGAACATTTGTTTGTAGTCAGCAAGAAATCAGGTTTGAAATCTACTTAACTGTAGAAGAGTTTTCACAAATTTCAAATGCAAAAATTGATAGCCTGCATTTGATGGATATATGATCACCACAATTGATTTCCCTTTTTGCAGTCACTTGATTACATGGCCCCTTTCCATCTCCTCCAAACCTACATCTGTTTTATACCAGTTAACAGGTATGTAAAAATGGTTTATTTGTTTTTTGCTTACAGCGTGCTCAGTTTCACACTGGGCAGCTTGTGACTTTATGTGGGCTTATCATCTCATTTTGATAACCATAATAAGATGGTAAAGATTGTGGCCATTGTAGGCCTGGATTGCATTCCAATTTGCAGTAGGGGTACTAAATGAATATAGAGCGCCATTGTTATTCTGAGAGAACGAGGGAGGTATTCATGGTGAGTTTCAGCACCTCTTTTTCTAGAAAAATAGCACTACCTACTAGTAAGTAGGTTTAAGCTGGATGCCCAAGCTTGGACTGCGTGGCTGAAGCAAGTTATCTTTGTGCTTCTATACAAATAATTTAGGAACAGACACCATTTTGGAACCTAGGTTATACTGCCTGTCTTTTCTTGCTGCTGTATGGATAATCACACAAATCTGACCTTTGAAAAGTTTGTAAGTAAACCAGGTTATGTGTGTGTGTGTGTGTGTGTGTGTGTGTGTGTGTGTGTGTAGTGGATTGATTGGGTGAATGCGTGCTTCTGTCCTGCCCAGCTAGCCAATGCCTGGAAACTGGATCCCTCCCCCCAAAATTGAGATCATTCTTGTGATCATCCTTGCTAAGAAAGGAACACTTGGACGTAGCCTTGGCTCATCGAGGCAGCACCTGTGCATACCTGTGCAATTATGTCTGTCGTTTCAGAATAACTCCGGCACTTCTTCACAGAGGAGCGAGCCAAGAAGTCTTCAACTAACCTGATGCCAATGTTATACCCCCTGAAGAAAGAGAGAACAAAAAGTCAGTCGTGCACATTTGATACTTCTTTGAACTTACAGAGGCATTTTTGGTCAATTTCCTGATCTCTAGCCAACCAACTCTCTGAATCACTCAGATGCTCCCAACCCAAAGGTATAGCTCTGCTGACAAGGTCCCTCCCATGTGTCTCTAAGCAGAAAAACCATGTGACTGATTGGGTTGCTGGAAAGGCGGCCCTAGTAAGAAAGCTCTTGTTACATCTGTTGTTATGAGGCCTGTCCAGTACAGCCACTACAGAAGAGATGAGTGGAGTTAGGACAGCATTAGCCACCATAATCATACACTGGTTCTGAGCACGGTTGGAGCTGTTTCCCTGAAGGCCAGAGAAACAACAGGGAGTGTTTTCTACTTTGAATCCATTTTGTTTGTTAGTTTAAACACAGGCTTCCTCAAACTCGGCCCTCCAGATGTTTTTGGCCTACAACTCCCATGATCCCTAGCTAGCAGGATCAGTGGTCAGGGATGATGGGAACTGTAGTCTCAAAACATCTGGGGGGCTGAGTTTGAGGAAGCCTGGTTTAACATTTGTTTTGTGACCTTGACAGAGAGAAAGAGAGCAAGCAAGCAACAATGAATATTTTTCTGAAATAAATATTTGTTTTTACTTAATCATTTTGCACTTATTTTTTTAAAAAAATAGGAAATTGGGAAGAGAAATAGTGTGTGGCTTGTGCATATGTTGCAATAAGCTTGGTATTAACCATTTTCCTGCGTTCACTCAGAAAAAGCTGCAGCAGCTGCTGGGTGGGACAAAGTCAATCAAGTCCATAGAAGTACAGAGAATAATTGGTGGGTTGCTTTTTTAGAGAGGAGACAATGGCACTCTGCACACGTGTAAAGGCACACTTCCCTGAATAAGTGCTGTGTAAGTCTTACTGTGGCGAAAACAGAAAGGTTAAAAAATGCAGCACCACCAAATAAAACTGTTACCAGCTGCTGCTGCCAAGGAATTCCCAAGTATAAGGAACTTGAATGAATCAACATATTGCTTTTGCCAGCCTGAAAGGCTTTAAAATTTAAAATGGAAGAGATAGTATTTAATGGAACTTTTTAACAGATCCATTTGAGGTTTAAATGAATTCGGGGAAAAGTTCCATTAAACTCTCTCTCTCTTAATCTTAGTTACAATTCACAATCAGCTTTACCGGAAAACCAACTGCAGTTAATGGGAAAGCATTTAAGTAATATAGGATGAGAGCATATGACACAAAGCCAAAACAGACTATAATAGCCAAGTAAATTGATATAACACAAACATTTCTTGTAGGCGGAAGTTCAAAGTCATGCAATATTTGTTTATTTCCAGGGATGCTAAATGTCCATTTCAGCATTGCAATACAGCCTTCTCCCACTGCCACAATGAGACTGATGAGCTCAGTGGTCACTGCATGCTGACTGACTGCTGGGGGGCTGGGGAAGGACCCCAAAACTGGGTGGGAACTGGGAGATGGATGAAATGGAATATACTAAAAGAAGACATGTCTGGATCAGCAAAGTCCCACTTGTAGCTGCAGAACCTGCTGTTAGGCTACCAGATATCCCCGTTTCCCGGGGACAGTCCCTGGATTTACAAATCAATCCCCTGACAAAATCCTATCATTCCTATTGAAGTTGAAAAGTGTCCCCGGATTCATTGAAAAAAATCTGGTAACCTTAACCTGCTGTCAAAAAGGCCATCGAGGGGATCATCATCCCCATCAGTTGAAAGCTCCCTGAGAAAATACTGGCTTCATCTTGAGAGCCAACCTTCCCATGGAAGTTTATAGGACTATGCCAGCCAATGGCATCTATCCCATACATTACAGTGCCATTTCCCATCACTTATCTTGCCAGACCTCGAGGGGCTAGAAAAGCGATTTGATAATTGTCCTAGAAAGGGATGGAATAACAAACCAAATCTTGTGTGGATAAATAGCCCCTCCAGAAGTTCCACCAATCTCCTGGATTTAATCCCCCCCCCCCCCGACAGATCCCGATATGAGGAAAGCAATGTTAAATGGATATCATTGCCTGCTAAGCTGATATGCAACCGTGTTTGAACCTGTCCTGGCTACTTACATGCTGTCCAAATATTTGTTCACATCTTCATCCTTTTCGTAATCCTTACACAGCTGAGCCACCAAAGCGCCGTAAGTGAGTACAAAAAGCTCTCTGCTCTGCCAATTAAGGGAGATACAAAGCAATGGTCATGGCTTATTAAATATACTGAATTAGGAGGAAACAAATGATCCTACCCCACCCCTAAGCTTTTCTGTAAATATCCTGTCTAACGAAAAGGCAATGAACTCAGCATGTGCTGCATAATTACATAATTGCCTGCACTGTCCAAAAACTAGTAACACAGTGCCATATTGACCATGCCCAGGGTCAGCCCATCCACAAGGCAAGGTGAGGCAACTGCCTCAGGCGGCTGGATCCACTGGGGCAGTAGATCCCAATGTCTATCCTTCTTCCCCCTTTGTTCCTGATGTAGATCTTCTCTGATCCCTTCTTCTGACCACAGGTGCCAAAATGCCTTGGGCTGGCCCTGACCATACCCAATACGAACTCTCAAAAAATCCCAGTTTCCCAGGGAGATATATTATAGGGTAGATGCAGAAGTCTTTCAGCATACCATATGATGTGCTGATGCAGAGGATGAAACGGTGGGTAAATGCCAGTCCTAGAACACAAAGAGAAGCATATAAAAGAGAGGGGGGGAGGAGAACAATAAAGTCACACATTCCTGTAAATTGCTTTGTTCGAAAGATAGAAAGCAAGGAGGGGGGAAATGTGATGGAATGAAATGCAAAAGCTGTTTAGAACTAGAAAGGAAATAATTCACACTGAATCAGGTGAGTAATAACAAGCGCACAAATGGTTTCTTTTGCAATGTCTCCAGAAGCACACCTTTCCACTCTCCCAATGAACAAGCAACTGCATTTCAAAACTCCACCATGTTGTGAAATTTCTATGAAACCAGAAGAGAGCAGGAATCGCTGTGTGTGTGCTCACAAAGTCTCTAGAGGGCACATCATGGAAAGCATGGCCTCCAAGGGGGTTTCCCTGAATAACTTTGGCCCAACCCATAGCCGCGGACATGCCTTGGACCTGGTGTTTACCTCCATGGATGTTGGTGTTCTGACACTAAATAAAAGCGAAACAAAAGAAGTGCCATGGTCAGACCACTTCCTGGTGCAACTTGACTTCTCCGCGACCCTTCCCCTCTGCAGGGAGGTGGGACCGATTCGGATGGTCCGCCCCCGCCACTTAATGGATCCAAATGGCTTCCAGAGAGTGGTAGGGGATGCTTTATCCCATGTTGATGGCCTTTCAGCTGATTCCCTGGTGGCCCGCTGGAATGTGGAGTTAACCAGGGCTATTGACTGTTTGGCTCCGAAGCGCCCTCTCCGATTGCATGGAGCCCGGACAGCCCCGTGGTTTTCCACGGATCTGAGGGCAATGAAACAATCGTTGAGACGGCTAGAGCGCCGGTGGCGGATGACCCATTCTGAAGCTGACCGGACACAGGTTAGAGCTCAGTGTCGAGCCTACCAAGTGGCGGTAGCGACGGCGAAGAAGGCGTTCTTCGCCGCCTCTATTGCATCTGCAGAAAACAGCAGCAGGAGACTTTTTCAGGTGGTCCGCAATTTAGCGGAACCACCTGCTACATCGGGGCCCAGTACGGGCCACATGATCTCCTGCAATGATTTTGCAAAGTTTTTTTGCAGATAAAGTCGCTCAGATTCGGGAAGAGGTAGACGCCACCGTGGGAGCAGGGCCAGGGCGGGAGAGTGCTAGAGTCCTGTCTAGTCAAATTGCGTGGGATCAATTCCAATCTGTTACCTTCAAGGATGTGGACAGGCTGCTTGGACGAGTGAAACCAACCACCTGTCTCCTGGATCCTTGCCCATCCTGGCTTATAAAAGCTAGCCGGGAAGGGCTGGGCGATGGGCTTCGTGGGGTGGTGAATGCTTCCCTCCGTGAGGGAACCTTCCCAGACCCGTTGAAAGAGGCGGTTATTAAACCGCTTCTTAAAAAACCATCTTTAGATGCGGCCACGATGGCCAACTATCGCCCAGTCTCAAATCTTCCATTCTTGGGCAAGGTGATTGAGCGAGTGGTTGCTGAACAACTCCAGGCACGCCTGGAAGAAGCGGACCATTTGGATCCCTTCCAATCGGGATTCAGGCCTCATCACGGGACTGAAACTGCCTTGGTTGCACTGGTTGATGATCTCCGGCGGGCTAGGGACAAAGGTGAGAGCTGTTTCCTAGTTCTGCTGGATCTCTCAGCGGCGTTTGATACCATCGACCATAACATCCTTCTGGACCGTCTTGAGGGGCTGGGAGCTGGGGGCACTGTCATACAGTGGTTCCGCTCCTTCCTCCTGGGCCGTGTTCAGAAAGTGGTGGTGGGGGATGAGTGTTCAGACCCCTGGGCTCTCACTTGTGGGGTGCCTCAGGGTTCTGTCCTCTCCCCTATGCTTTTCAACATCTACATGCAGCCGCTGGGAGAGATCATCAGGGGGTTTGGGCTGGGTGTTCATCAGTATGCAGATGATACCCAGCTCTACCTTTCTTTCAAATCAGAACCAGTGAAGGCGGTGACGGTCCTGTGTGAATGTCTGGAGGCGGTTGGAGGATGGATGGCGGCAAACAGATTGAGATTGAATCCTGACAAGACAGAAGTACTGTTTCTGGGGGACAGGAGGTGGGCAGGTGTGGAGGATTCCCTGGTCCTGAATGGGGCAACCGTGCCCCTGAAGGACCAGGTGCGCAGCCTGGGAGTCATTTTGGACTCACAGCTGTCCATGGAGGCACAGGTTAAATCCGTGTCCAGGGCAGCTGGGTTATCCGTGTCCAGGGCAGCTGATGTATCACAGTATTTTAATATTCTTTTGGAAGCCGCCCAGAGTGGCTGGGGAAACCCAGCCAGATGGGCGGGGTATAAATAATAAATTATTATTATTATTATTATTATTATTATTATTATTATTATTATTATCACAGCCTTAAAGTACACTTCTGGGCCACAAAAACTCACACAGCACAGCTCTGGAAATTTCTGCCAGTGACTTGCATGTTTGTTCCAAAGCAAGTTCAGTGGGACCTCCATCCAAGTCTGTGTGCCTAAGATGGTAGCCTTAGTGAAAACTAGCCAAGCACTCACAAGGGGCTCCTACACTTGTGCCCTTGAAATGCAAGGGAGTTGCACAGCTTGAATACTCAGTGGACCCTCCTATCCTTTACTATGTTGCAAGACCTCACGGAGAAGCTCTTTGTGCAGACAGCATTGTGGGGGCATCTCAAGCTCCAACAGAAAGCTAATCGGGGTGCCTGTAAGCCCATTTCAGCCAAGGCAGTTCTTTACCTGCCCCACTCCTCACTAGTGAGTCAAACTAGGAGGACTGGTGGGTCAGAATATGCTTGCAGGCTGGAGATTCCTCATCCCTGCCTATAGCCACAGCATTCAGCCTTTCTACCTTGAAGGACCTCTTTCGACCTTGACGTGTCTGTCAAGGGAGCCCCACCATCGTGTAGAGGAGGCTAAGCCATCTCATATCCTTTATTTTCATGAGACTCTTGGGAGGCCCACTGGGCTTCGCATCGACTCTGCAGGAACTGAGGACAAATCCCAACACAGTGCCTTGCAAGTGATGTGCAAAGAACTGAGTCCTGATTTTCATTGCAATCGCAGTAGAATGGCCTCCCCAGGGTTGCAGTGCTAATAAAATAAAATAGCCCCTTGCCTTGTCACATACCTGCAATTAAGTAAAGGAAAAGGTAAAGAAAATATGGCATATTACAAGTGACACAGTTAAGTGTCACCTGTAAGATAAAGGTAAAGGGACCCCTGACCATTAGGTCCAGTCGTGACCGACCCTGGGGTTGCGGCGCTCATCTCGCTTTATTGGCCGAGGGAGCCAGCGTACAGCTTCCGGGTCATGTGGCGAACCAGAGCAGCACACGGAAATGCCGTTTACCTTCCCGCCAGAGCGGTACCTATTTATCTACTTGCACTTTGATATGCTTTCGAACTGCTAGGTTGGCAGGAGCAGGGACCGAGCAACGGGAGCTCACCCCGTCGCGGGGATTCGAACCGCCAGCCTTCTGATTGGCAAGTCCTAGGCTCTGTGGTTTAACCCACAGTGCCACCCGCGTCCCAAGTGTCACCTGTAGTTACACCCAAATGCTCCTGGCAGGCTCCTGGCAAACACAAATAGCCACTGAAACTATCACTGTACAGCACAATCCTATGCACATCTACTCACAAGCAAGTCCCATCGAGTCTTGGTCCTGTATACCTGAAGGAGCATCTCCACCCCCATCGTTCAGTTAAAAAAAGAAAGAAGTTCATGAGGTCCAGTGCCGAGGGCCTTCTGGCAGTTCCCTCCCTGCGAGAAGTGAGGATACAGGAAACAAGGCATAGGGCCTTCTCGATAGTGGCGCCCGCCCTGTGGAATGCCCTCCCATCAGATGTCAATGAAATAAACATCTATTTGACTTTTAGAAGACATCCAAAGCCAGCCCTGTACAGAGAAGTTTTTAATGTTTGAGGGTCTTCATGTTTTAATATTTTGTTGGAAGCTGCCGAGAGTATCTGGGGAAACCCAGCCAGATTGGCGGGGTATACATAATAAATTATTATAGGATTATTATTATTATTATTATTATTATTCCAAGTTAAGCGGCCTAGACAGAGCCCGTGGATATTCTGAAATTTACACAGAGGTGACTCAAACAAGCACAGGGGGAAATTATGTCTGGCAAACTTCTATATAATGCCTTACACTCCTAGACTCCACAGTGCAACTTCATATGAACTTCTTTCTTTTTTTAAGGAATAAAAGCAGCTTGGAATTGTATACAAGTCAAATGTTTGGAATCAATTCTTTCGATTCCTTTGGTGTCAAGTAAGACTTGCTCAACTGTATGTTAATTGCATATTAACCTCTGGGGGACTATAATCCAGTAAGAGTATCCAGTGTTTGGGGAAAGAAATTGATTCAAGTGATCAGAAATTCATTTCTGGAACAATAAAACTGGTGGCGCTGCTATTAACTGTTGTGCCATCTAGTGGCCAAAAAGGGAAATCTTTAATAGATGATCAGAATTAGGAGAGCGAGAAAGGAAGGGTGCTTGTATGTGGTGGTGGTGAATGGTCAAAAATTGCAGTATCATTTGAAGAAAAAATATTCCTGACTCATTCATATATAGACACAGAACAGGTTTGAAGTCTAGTCTTTTTGATGTCACTTTGAGAAGCATAGAATATCTTACAAAACCAACTCATTTCCTTTAAGAAATCAATTTATCTTTAAGGTAAAGGTAAAGGGACCCCTTACCATTAGTTCAGTGAATTATAAACTTTTAAGGAGCTTACAAACAGGTGCCAGCATGGGGAAAAAAGTAGAAAGGCAGAATGTCTAACTTGATTTTCTATTTATGTCTGGCTGCAACACTCTAATGACACACACACACACACACACACACACACAGAGAGAGAGAGAGAGAGAGAGAGAGAGAGAGAGAGAGAGAGAACGGATTGTGTCTGTAAGGTTTGAGATCAAATTCCTACTTAGCCATGAATTAACCAACTGAAGTTGAATCCTTAATTTCCAAATATATTCCCCAGGAGCAGTTCTGGCCCAATACATTTTAGTGCCTGAGGCAAACCACACAATTGCACCCTGCCCCCCACCAGGGAAGAAGAGATGAGTGAAGATCTAAGTTAGGAACAAGGGTGGGGGGGGGGAAAGAGATAAAGTTCTACATTAGGAGATGCTGCCCCTGTGAGTCCTGTCCCCTGAGGCAGTATCGTCACCTTCCTCATGGGTGGGCCAGCCCTGCTGTAAAATTCTGTACAATTCTGTCCCACCCTCAGGGACTTCACTTTCCTCTCTTGCACCTTTGTAATGGCTAAATAAATTATTGCATGTTGTTGCACCGATTTCCCCCCCTGGCTTGTAGGTGTGTAGGTTGCTCAAGGAGAGGGATTAAGAGTTGTAGGATGATATATTCCAGGGTTTCTCAACCCAAAAGGCCTGAAAACCACTACTTTAGAGGAACGGTGGGGTGCTTATGTGATACTGCTGATATGTGGAGTGAAAGGTAACATCCCTTCCTCCATTTCCTAAAGATGTGGTGTACCAGCAGCACCAGACAACACCTTATGGAAAAAGTTAGAATTCCCAGAGTGATCTGGGAAGAGGGATTGGCTGTTGAAACTGTTCTAAGAATTGTAGCTCAGTGAATAAGGGGGTCTCCTAAGAACTCTCAGCACCCTTAACAAACTACAATACCCAGGATTCTTTGGGGGAAGGCTATGGCTGCTTAAAGTGGCATGATACTGTTTCAAATCCATAGTGCAGAAGGTGGGTCTTCATAGGATGGGTCTTCTAAAAATGTGATCTTGTTGGAAATCATCACAATAACTACAACAAGCCCTGAAAATTGCTCTTGGGTCCCAAATAAGAACATGGGTCAGGCCAAACATCATTCTGTTTCCTATAGCGGCCAATCAGATGCCTATCGAAAGCCCACAAAAAGGAAAGAAACATCTACAGTAGCCGCAGATAGACCTACCCTCCACAAAATTATCTAATCCTCTTTTAATGCCATCCAAATTGGTGCCGATCACCGACAGCCATGCATGGAGTGAAGTACCGGTAGTTCCTTCTTTTTAAAGCATCTTTGTTTTAGAAGAAATAATATATATAATCATCTTATGAACAGAAAAACTTAAATAATTCAACCACGGGAATGTTAAACTGTTCAGTAACAGATATACCACCAACACCTTACACAATGATAAGAACTCCATGACTTGACATTAAAAGAGGCTAACACCAATCTTGTGACAGCAAATCTCTATACACTGTGCAAATAAGTATTTCCATTTGTCCTGAATATCCCACCATTTACCTTCATTGAATAATCTGGATTCTAGTATCATGAATGAGGGAGAAAAAGCCTTTACTCTCTTTTTCCCTAAAGCAAACTAGCAAGGGTCGAACAGTGTAACCTCTCCTCCCAGGGGAGCTGTTCCAGTTCTTTGATGGTTCTGGTTGCCCTTTTCTGAATCTTTACAACTAAAATGCTCCCTCCTGGGTTCTCATTTCAAAACAAAAGATGAAAATGCAATCTATATCCCTAAACATGTTGAAATTCTTAGCTCTATGTCCTTGCAAAACATGTTCTTATTAAACAGAGCAGCACATTAATTTAAAGAGGAAAGTTTTATATTTGGTAGCATTTACCTGTCCAAATAAGACTTACTATTTTGGGGTTCTCTGGTCTTCTGTTTGCTGGCCGTGACATTTTTCCTGGGCAGTAGTAGAGAGTATGCGATTCCCTGTTTATATCCTTTCTTCTTCAAAAAGCACTTTCCTTTTCCATTACTGGATTCCTTTCTTTATCCTGGCTATTAAAACAACAACATCCCTTTACTACTCTCTGAAAGTAAAAGAGCTCTGGGTGCCACATTTCTGCTTCTGCTCCTCCTCTTATGTGATTCAAATCTTCCAAGAGAAATCTGGCAAGAAATCAAGCCTGCTTCAGAGAACAACCTGACTCAGATCAGGAACTGATCCATTAAAGCAGAGAGATTGCAAATCACATGCATAATAGCTGATCTCACTGCATGACAAGCAAGACCAGAACATTCAGAAGTCTAAATATGCCAGAAATATATAAAGCTGGTTATTTGGCATAGCCATAGTCCACCTCTCACACATGATATTCACACACCTACACGCACTCATTTCATCTCAACAGCATTCAAATGGGAATTCACTCATACAAACATATGCCAGCTGACATCTGTGAAGAACACCAGTGGACACATCCATTCATCACACACACTCCATTCATTCACATCCATGTCCTGGCTTCAGTCCACAAATATGCACTGGCTTCTGTTGTCTGGCTTCCGAAAATGAACTTCAGCCATAAGCATCAGCCTGCTTTAGCCTTGCTGTGTTCTCCGGCTTCTGAGTAGAGACTGCACCAGCTTCTACCCAACATCATCTACCAGATTTAGGTCCACCACTAGACCTAGGTCAGCTTTCAACCATGGATATCAGCAATGATGTACTATCAGTTTTCAAGCCACAATCACACTCAGCAAGTGAGCTTGCCTTATTATCACTCCATAGCATCTTCCTGCCAGATGATCACCTACCTGTATTATTCAGCAGTTTGCCTCCTCCAAGTGGAAGAAACTGGGGCAATGCTGAATGGCATGACCCCCTGCGTTTTATTATTTTATTATTATTTATTGGATTTATATACCGCCCTATACCCAGAGGTCTCAGGGCAGTTCACAGAAAAGATTTGCTGATTAATAGGGCCTTTTCCTTGGTCCTCATTTATATCCATTCAGCTGCCAACAGCTTCTACGGCATCACAAGTAGTCCGCAGTCATCCTAAGCTCATTTGCCAAGTAGAATGTTTCTGGGTAAACAGTCATAAAATCGCACAGCATATTTTGTACCTGTTTTTGCAACACAGGCTAGCATGTGCACTTGATTTTTAAAAATAATTATGTCCCAGTTTCTATCCAAAATTACAATTTTATGCATGCAGATAAATGATTGGTAAGTAAATGCAAGATGATTGATTTCCAATGCGTATGCTGAATCAGTGATCAATTCCCACTGAGTTCAATGGGTTTTAGACTATGATCCTATGTGTTTCCTAGGAACAAAATCGTTCAAACAAAGTGAAACTTACCTCTGAGTTAATACAAATAGGATCGAGCAGCAGGTTTATAATACAGAAGGGAAGGGGTTGCTACATCTGAAAGGACAAAAGGCTGCAATCCTATGCATACTTTCTTGGGAGCAAACAAACATGAAACCAAGCAAGATCTACTTCTTAAATAACATGAATACATGAGGAAGTGAAAACATTACTGCTCTATCTGCCCCCCCCCCATACATGGCCTCTTTGATGCTGGATGCAATTTATCTGCTTATTGATGATCACATGGTCTTAGCAAGCTGGCAGTGCACCACCACTGCCACACAGACTTTCATTACTGGCTGTCCAAATTTCCTATATCTCAACTGTATTGATGTTCCACTGTCATCTTGATCTCCATTTCTTCACTAATGCGTTTTCTAAGTTAAAAATTAAAGCATGGAAAGGCTTTGCTCATTCCAAAGCTCACTTAAGGAGAAAAAACAAACAATCCTTGCTTCAGACAAAATCAATGGAGGAGCATAATACGAGTGAGGCTTAAAGAAAAACAATTAAATAATGCATGCGGTGGTACGATGGGATAGAGACGCTAAAATCTCAGAAACAAGTTCTACCGAGGGCAAATCTTCTCCAAAATCTTCCTCTTCCTGCCAAATCTCTTATTATGGAAGTACGTGGAATATTCCACAGCATGGAACCAGAAATTCCAAATGCCCAGATAGGGATTCTGTAACATGAGGGGAAACTCTGGAGGTCTTCAAGGTATCCTGGACCCAAGTTGTCCAGAGCTTTGTGTATCAATACAAGATCTCTGAAACAGCATATGGGAAGCCAGCAGATGTTTCAGTAGAGGTGTCAAATGCTTTTGGCCACCTGTCCCCATCAACAGTCTAGCTGCTTCATTCTGCACCAGCTGGAGCTTCTGTACCAAGTCCAAGGGTAGCCTCACATAGCTAGTTCACGATACAGTCGCCAGACCATTGACTGGGGCTGGTCAGTGGGAACACATCTCAGCTGTGCTGGCACCTGCCCCATTTCTAAGAACAATTCAAAGTGATGAGGTTTAACTTAATCTTTGGAATATCTCCTACAGGTCCCCAGTTACCTGAGACAAGGCTAGTGGTGACCGAATGGAGAATGCTCCCTCTGTGGAATTCCTTCCTCAAAGAGGCCTGCCTGGCACCAGGTTTATCAAAAAAATTTTGCAGTTTTTATATTCCCAGTCGCGTGGGTGCTTTATTATGTGTTTCATAAGCTATTCCACAGAATCTGATGAAGGATAGTACAGAAATGCTTCAAATGAATGTATATTTATAAAGTATCTTGGCTGGGTGTGAACACCACAAAAGAATGATAGGATGAAGAAAGATAATTGTAGTTGAATCAATTAGTTACGCACAGCTGGAGATTTCACAAATACATCTCATGTCCCTTCTGCCTTTGTTAAATGTTTTGTTATAGCTCCATCAGACCTTTTCCATATGCTTTACAACTCTCTCTAATTACAATTTGGCCGTTCTGAGTTTAATGGAATATCCCATCCTGAGCAAATGTTCATAGAATTACAGCCTTAGGCTTTTTGAATGAAATGTGGAGTATAATAAATTATCTTGGAAAACTCATCTGCTTTCAGAATTGGCAAAAGACAAGGCACTTGGGTGCCTAAGGAAGAAAATCTGAATAGTTCTTATAGCAAAAACATAATAAATGGATCAACTATTTGCTGCTCTTTGGTGTAATATGAAATCTGTCGACTGAGGCAAGTGTTTGAATCCAAATGTTAATGGCTGTATAATGAGAACTTCATTTTAAATTTGGTTCTCTGTCAATTCCAAAGGGTGATGGTTGTTCAAAGTTTTGAGGGATCAGCTATTCTGTATGCACTCTGACTTCTGTCACGGTGTTCCATTGCGCCAGAAGCAGCTTAGTCATGCTGGCCACATGACCTGGAAAGCTGTCTGCGGACAAACGCCTGCTCCCTCGGCCTGAAAGCGAGATGAGTACCACAATCCAAATTGCCTTTGACTGGACGTAACCATCCAGGGGTCCTTTACCTTTTTTATTTTTTACCTATGCAGTTTCAAACAAAGTGTTTCAAGCAAGATATTAAATTTTAAGAAGACAACAGTTTATTCACCCTTTCAATACAATCCCTTTATTTTATAGTAAATCTTAAAACGTTGTAACTGGAAATGAACAAGAGAATACAACCAAAGATTCTGGGAAATTCAATTATTCATGTTGTTTTAAAATATAGCTTTTCCTGGAAAAGGCTGACTTCTTTTCACTATTTGTTACTGCGCTCTGTTGCTACCAGTTGAACCATCATCTTCTGCGTGCAGATCTTCATTGTGGGATTTGGCATATCTGTTTTAGGATATGCAGTCCGGGATTTATATATATATATATATACATACAGTATTTATTTCTTGTGTACATTCACCAGCAACTGTATCCTTGAGAAAATATGTCTAGATTTAAAAGAAACAATTAATGCAATGGCTCTGCTTTTTCTTTTCTTTAGAAGTATTTTTAGGTTGTTAAATGCTAAGCTTTTAAGGGATCTCGCAATAACAGAAAATCAATGAGTTGAATCGAGGATAACCATGTCCCCTGACAGCTGAATCATCTCTTTCTTTTTGCTTTGTAGTGCCAGCTGGCTACTATGGAGTACTTCTACCTGCTGTTTACTTCCTCCTCCATTATAAAAACATTAGAGGATGGGAAAGGAAAATATGCCCTTATAGTGTTATGAATTACTAGTCTGAATTTACAATCTTCCGCTATTTTTTTGCATGCATGTCAAGAATGCCTCCAATATTAAGCTGGCAGCACATACCTACTGCCTGCTCCTTACAGTACTCCTATTTCTCAACATTCCCAGTCATCTGACGTGCATCCACAAGCCTAAAAACCTGCCCTGTTCTGTATCACAGGTGAGGAACCTGTGGTCCAAGGGCTCACCTCATTTTGAGAGACTCCTATCGCTGCCTCATTTTTGCTTTCCCTCCTCAATTAATTTACCCCCTTTTCCTGGCTTTTAAAAACGCTTCCTCCCTCTTTCTATGCAGTCTTATAACAACAGGAAAGCGTTAGGACTGGTGCCATATGGGGCTTTGGAGGTGAGAATAGAAATTAAAGCAGCGGTGCTAACACACATTAACCTGAAAGCAAGTCTCGCTAAACTCAGCGGACTTATTTCTGGGCAGAGATCCGTGGGATTGCAATGTGCGGGCTGCAACCCTACGTGCACTTTCTCGGGAGCAAGCGCCGCCGCGCTGCTATTCTGTGTTTCCCTTCCATTCCCCGTTATCCCTGGAGGACTGTTGCAACCCGTGGAAACCCCAGATTCCCTTCTCCGCATGACCAACAGAAACAAATACTGAAAGCGCTTCGAAGCGGAAGGGAAGCCCCCGCTTCTTTCCCGCAGCCGTTGCCGGCTAGCGAGCATCTCGGGAAGCGACGCGCCTGTTTTCAAGGCGAAGAGGCAGCCGTGGGAAAAGCACCGGGCCTGCGCGCCTCGGCGGCAGGCGCGACCAATCGTCGGCCAGAGCCACGGATTTCCTTGCCAGGCCGAGGAGTCGAGAGGCCGAGTGGGCGGCGCCGCGTTGCGCGTGCGTCCCGGCGGCCTGAGCTGTGCCTCCCTCGGCTGTCTCCTGCGCCCGCCGACTTCCTTTCTGCCGCTGCTCTGCCGGCGGAGGCGCTTGCGGGCCGGAGGGTTCCATGGCCGGCCGCGGGGGGCCATGACGGACTACGCGGAGGAGCAGCGCAACGAGCTCGAGGCGCTCGAGTCCATTTACCCGGACTCCTTTACAGGTGAGCGGGGGCGCCGCGTGCGGAGCCAGGTGGGCGCGCGCAGGGCGGCGGCGGCGGCGCCAAGTTTCCGGCATGCGCTGCAGCTGATCTTTCCACACTTCTGCCTCCCGGCGCGGCGATCGCCCGCATTGCTAGCCTGCTCCGAACTTCCGGCTTTCGAAGTGGGAAACCTCCCTCCAAGGTGTCCCCCGCCCCCGATCCTAACTGGAGAAGTTGCCAAACTTTTGCCTCGGGATCCTGGGTGGTGGGGATTTGCACTCCCCGCTTTGCAGCAGGGACAGCTCCCTCCGGATAGTGGAGGGGACGGTGCTCTCGCTCCTGTGTCCTCGGCTCTCAGGCTCCCCATAAGCCAGATGGGCCCCTGGCCTGATCCAGGCAGGGCTTTTCTTAGGGTCTTCACAGCTTCTCAT